CCCAAAACCCTAAACTCTAAACTCTAGAAGTTTCGTGTCAGGCTCGGCTTGTTCTTTCTCCCGGGAGCGAGTTCGACGACGAGAAGTCCTGGCATTTCCAGCGGACGCTTATTTTGGTTGTCACTTTTCGGCTTCTAGGTTACGGGTTTATATACCCTAAATCCTAAGCCCCAAATTCCTTAAACTAAACCCAATAAGGCAGTATATAATACGGGTTCTATAAGAGCTGTACCGTTTTTGTTGGAGCCTTTGGCTTGAGGGATTTGGGCTTGTAGGAACTGGATCCTCTGCTTTCTGGTAGATATGGGGACCTTAATAATTAGAATAGGGTCTTGGGCCCCATTATACTATAAATATCATGAGGAGCCCCCAAAACCCTATTCTAAGATTTTGGCCCCTACATTAGATCGGGTTTAGGGTTTCGGGGTTTGGAGATTGAGGGTTTAAAGGAGTCAAGGGGCTTGGGGTTTTCGGGTTTCGGGTTTAGGGCTTAGGGTTTGGGGTTTAGGGCTTAGCGTTTGGGGTTTAGGGGCTTAGGGTTTGGGGTTTAGGGTATCGGGTTTGGGGTTTAGGGCTTCGGGGGTTTAGGACTTGCTTCGCAGCGCTTGGCCTTCTGGCTTGGGGACTTGGTGACGCGCAAGATAGAGGCCCCCCAAAATGACTAGTACTATTTTAGGGCTTCCAATTGTTATAGTTAGTTATATAGTATAATATACCGCAAAACCCTACTCTAATTATTAAGGCCCCTACATTATTGATGGAATCATGGCTCGGTGCAACAAGGGCCCAGCCCCGGGAGCTGAAGACATGGGCAGATGGGTTGGGTTGGTATGCACGTGGATGTTTCCGAAAGTAGTACCCTAAATAGTAGGGTCCTTATTCTAAGGTCCCCAAGGTAAGGTACCCGAATTTTCGGAGACTCCCATGTATTGAGGATGCGAAGGATGACCGCAGTAGGGGCGATCATTTCCTTGTGTTGCCCCGTTTTTGGTTCCTTTCCTGACGATGATTCGTGCGTTACATTTCTGACCTCAAGCGAGAGACCCCGAAAAGTAAGCCCCAAGCCCTTAAGAAGCCTAAAATCCCTAAACCCTAAACCCTAAACCCTAACCTAAAATATCGTCGCCCAAATTCCTAAAATTCCCAATGCTCTGCAGCTGAGGATGAACATCGCCTGCAGCAGGCCGATACTCTCTCTATAGCGGGAGAGAGACGGAGAGATGAAGGGATCAAGTTTCAGGGTTTAGGGTTTAGGGTGAAGGGATCAAGTTTCAGGTGCTGCAAACATTTTATCAGAACATAGCCCTAAGCATTTTACATGTTTGTCAAGAATGATAAGAGTCGTGTGAAGTCTAGTATACAAGCCCAGAGGGTTTATTGAAGCAATAGGACCATCATGGGTCTAGGGCGCTTTCGAGAAAGAAGTGCCTTCCGATCTTGCCTTGTTTTTTGCGAATCCACAGGGGTACACAAATGAGAAAAATGGCATTACAAGAAGCTCTGTGGTTGTAGTTTAGGGTTTCGGGGTTTAGGGGTTTAGGGTTCAGGGTTCAGGGTGCTGAAGGGGCTTTCTAGGTTTTAGGGTTTCAGGGTTCCCTCAGGCATAGGATTGCAGGCAACTTACTTCGCGGAAGCCGTAGAAGTCCGAAATGCAAATCCTTTGAGATTTAGGCTTCCAAACATGCAGGGATTCAGGTGCGACGGTTTGAAGTTTAGGGGGGTTTGAGGCTCAGGAGCGTGGGATGAGGGGTGTAAGTTGAGGCTGAGCATTACAAGCCCTGAGCTTCAAAATGCATCCCTGAGGTGTCTGCTCGAAGAAGCCGGGTCCCGCTTGCTTGCCGCCGTGGCGCGGCGCAGCAGGACTCGATAGGCCTGGCTTGGGGGCTTCAGGGTTTACTCATAGGCTCCATTGTAGTTCCTTTTTGCGGCATAGGATCCTAAATGTAAGCCACAAAAACGAACTACAGTGAAGCTTATGGGTAGGGCAGGATGAGGGTCTAGGGTCCTGGTTTATAGCTTGGGTGGTTTAGGACATGGAGTGTCGGGGTGCTTAGTGTTTGGAGTTTGGAGCTCACCTTCGAGTGATGAAAATGAGTTCGGGTTTACGGGAGTGAGAGCTGGGCCTCAGCCCATAGCTAAGGCCTTGAAACCATAACAAAATGCTTATAGTTATATATATATATATATATATGTATATATGGTTTAGGGTTTAGGGTCTGGGGTTTAGGGATATGCTAAAGGCTTGTTAGAGCCTTGAAATCGAGATTCGGACTGAAGTTCGCAGCACCGCTCGCCTGAAGGGGATTTGTGTTACAGATTCTTTCCTTCACTGAAGGCTTCCGATGATGCCTACCCCCGAATGCGGTGTGGGGGTCGTAAACCCGAATCCCTATAAAACCCAAACCCTAAAGCCTCCAAAGCCCAGGCGCGGCGGTGAACGCCAGCGCATCAGGCACATCGTGCAACATCCGGCTTGTGGTGGGCAGGCGAGAATTCATTTAAGGCGCTTTGCGGTTTATGGTTTAAGGTTATGATAGTTATGTTTGATTGTGTTTAGAACGTGAATGCTAGGAGCTACTGCTAGGGTATGCTTTGTAGTTAGACTAGAAGTTGACCTTACTGTTCAGGGCTCCGCAGTAGTGTGATAGGACTTCTGGGCGTCCATGTTTGCTTTGAGCTAATGTGCATAGAAGTCTACTGCACCCGGCTATCAGTGTGCCTTTTGCATGAGGATCACAGGTTTAGTGCCCTGAGGCTTAGGTATAGTATTGCCTAGGGTTTAACATTCGCTGACGGTGCTGCATCTTTTCTCAGTCATTTGCACCGGCTACTGTAAACGGAGACCTATGTTTGCAAACGATCTTTCTGTCCAGGCTGACAGGCATTCTGGCATTCTGAGCGACCCCTCACCTTGCAGCTGAGCAGAATGGATCAGCAGGGTAAGGCAACCAAACCAGCGCCCTAAGACATACAGTTGTATCCCATTGGTTTGGGCTGAGCAATGGCTCTTGCTGAAGATGCCTTGTCCACAGACTGCAAGTGCTACTGCATTCCTGCTTCGCTGCAGAAGTCTGAGTTTGTATTGCATTGGAAGCAGATGTTTTCCATTTGGGTGTTCTTCTTTGTCACAGCTGGGGTGACGTACCACACACCGCCAGTCCTCCTTCCTGCAATCATGCAAGAGTTCCTGGGCCGACAGTCGGCGCCTAGTTTGGTGCATTCGCTGCCATGGTTCTTTTGTATTGTTACTATAGTAATACCATTAATAGTATTATCATACGATAATAGTATTATCATAAGCAAACCAAGGTTTCATACAGACCAATTTCACGTCTCATGGCTTCCCTCCATCTTCTATCTTGTGAAGGGCATTTTTACTATTCCCGGCGGCTATGCCGTGGACAGTTTGGGGTGTTCAACTTGCCTACGGGCAGGTGCGATCGCTCTTGTGGTTTCTTCGGCCCTATATTCTGTGGCTCCGAGTTTGTGGTGCCTGGCTTGTCTTCATGGCGTCTATGGCCTCTGCTACGACCTCAGCGGCATTGCCACCGGCACCGTCTTCCTGACGTCCTGGTTCGAGCAGCAAAGAGCACTCGCGATCTCCGTCATGGCAACGGCCTTTAGTATGGCTGGTGTGTGCTTCCCGCCAGCCATAGGGACACTTATCCACGATCATGGTTGGCGAGTTGCCTCCATGCTCGGCCCTTGCTTGACAGCCCCTCAGCCTCAGGAGATGAGCCGGCACATTTCCTGAGTTTCTGTTGAGGTCTACCATGTCAAACCAAACTCTTGGGTGAGGGCCAGCCCTGCCCCCCAAACCCTCAACCATCCTAAACGCTTTAAGGTTTAGGGTTTAGGTTGCCCTGCAGGGATTGCAGTAGGGTTCAGGGTTTGGTAAGCCTTAAACCCGAAACCCCAAACATGGCCCGAAGCCCTAAACCCGAAACCCTAAACCCGAAACCCTACCATCCTAAACCCCAAGGCCCTACTCGCTGTGCCTTTGTCCTGCTTGGTGCTCCGCGATGGACCCCTCAGATCTCGGGAGGAGCTCGGCCAGCTACAAAGTCTGCGAGGCGACAGGGTTTAGGGTTTAGGGTTCCCCCAGATTTAGGGAAATTCCCCACCCTAAACCCTATAGGGTTTAGGGGTTCAGGCTCGGGCCTTGGGGATGTCAGGGCTTTCAGGTGTGCAAGTACACTCTCAACTTGGTACTGCTGTAGTAGGGTTTATGGTTTAGGCTTAGGGTTTAGGGTAGTAGCACGAAAGTAGTACTATAGTCACTATAGACCTTGAACCTATATGCCCTGCTGTAGGATACTGTGGAGCTTTGGCCTGAAGATTCCAAAAAATAAGCCTTCTAGCCAAGCCTGTAGGCGACAGGGAAGGCGACGACCACGATCTGCCAATGAGCTTCCAGCAGTGCCTTCGACTTGGTGTTGTCTGGCACCTTGCTTCCATGTCCTTCTGCGAGTTGTGCCGTGGTCAAAGCTTCTGGTTTAGGGTTTAGAGTTTAGGGTTTAGGGTTCAGGGTCGGGGATTTGGGAAGTCGAGGTACATTATCATGGCGTTGATCAACAGCTTGGTTCTGTATTTGCAGAAGGACGTGGGCATGAGTGTGCAAGTCTGCAGCCTCTACACCTCGATGGTATTTCAAGCCTCAAGTGCTGGCAAGCTCATCGCAGGTGCCGCTATGGACTCAAGACAGGTGGGCAGTTCTCAAAGCTATGGGGCCCTGTTTTGGAGGCCTTAACCTTAACGCTTGATTTTTTCTGACCCAAAACCTTAACAAACTGACAGATCCTTACTGGTGCAGTGAGCTGCTTCCTGCTTGTGCTCGGCACGCTGCTGCCTTTGGATTTCGCATCCGGGGGCGTTGAGGTAACGTCCAACCACTCACAACTCCTGGCATTTACCATCATTTATGGGCTGGGTTTCGGGGCCTCTTACGCAGTGCTCATGGCAAAGCCGGCCAAAATGTTTGGCCAGCTGGCAGAGTTCAGCAAACTGCAGGGCTTTCTGATGCTCTTTCAAGTCCTGGGCGGCTTCTGCGGCACACTCATAACAGGAAGCTAGGCCTCATTGGAGTCACCTCTCCCTATAATTAGTTCAGGGGTTAAGATTTGGGGGTTGGGTTTAGGGGTTTCGGGTTCAGGGATCAACCCTAGTATATTGGCATAGTGGCTGGTGGGGCTGAAAAGGAAAGCTGCGATCTGCAACTGGGAGCTACGCAGCTGCTTTCCATGTGTTCATCGCCATGGCGTCAGTGACTTGCTTCAACTACGTGGCTGTAGAGATGTCGAAGACCTCCAGGAGATTGAGACAAGTCTGAAGCTCGTGGTCCCCATGACTTAGGGACTCTCTTGGACGATGAGGGCTAACAGATAGGGCTTTGGATGCACAGCGCAACGCAAGCTATGCATCATCACGTCCCTGGATCCAACGGCGCCTGCTTCTCCGGCTTGCGCCAACTCTGCAAAGCCCTCAACCAGAGAGGCCCATCCTTGAAGGCTCATGTCAATCGAACATGTATGCTAGGGATCGAATTGTTGGATTTATAGAGACTTAGGGCTCAGTGGTTGTGGTTTAGAATGCTTCAGGAAGGGGACTAGGACTACTTCGATCCCGAATGTTGGTGATTTGGCGGAGCACAAGACTCGCTTACCAGGATCATGCTGAGATTCAAAAGTCAAGCGGCCAAGACAGACTCTTACAGCTGTAGCTGATGCTACTCCTTTGAACAGCAGAACAACCACTAGCTGCTTGTACAGCCATGAAATGGGAAGCTTTAGTGCTCAGAGTGTGTTAGCAGGCCTCCGAAACCCTTCCATTGGTCCATGCCCCCTAAGCCCTAAACCTTGAGCCCTGCATTTGACATCATCTGGCTACAATGTAGGAGCCTCCATGATAATCAGAATAGGGATCCGTAGAGTGCCTTGCTACATCGCACGATAATCTTCTCCAATTAGAATATCGGCATTTCTCTAAATCAGGCTCCCTTTTTGGATACCCCAAACAGTACGGCACCGTAATAACAAGGACCCTGAAAGGGACCCTACTTTAGAGCAACTCAACCTATAGCCGTTTCGCACCTTGACCTCCTCTGAACCCGAAACCCAAACCCTGATCTTTGAAGCATGGCATTGCTGTGGAAACGGCCATATGCAGACATCATCGTCATCTTCATCATGAATATCATCACTGTCATGCACCGTAGTGCTAACTAATAGAAACCGTACTAAGCAGGATTCACTATACATAATTAATCCTTCATGAATCGTTTCATGGGGCAAAGCAGCAAACGGCTGACTACTTGCTACAACATCACCCCATTCCCCGGGCACGAATGCATGTTTGCGATGAAGAGCACGAGAAGGCCTAATTGAGCCAAGGAGGGTACAGGGCCTGCTACTTGGTTACAAACTATAAGAGGAATCCTTGAGTCTGGGGGAGGGTAGCCTCCCCTACACACTGAAAACCCTAAATTCCCTAAAACCCTCCCCTTTGCTGAAGCGCTGCCTGTGTCAGGTCAGCGCCGGGGGCTTCCACCACCCCGGATTGGTTTCATGATCCCACCCGCAAGGATCTCCCAGATGGGCAGGGGCAAAAAAGGCTGCCATCGTCAGGAGCCGACATAGATAGCATGAGCCCTATAAATCAGAATGAGAGCATCAGCAGTTTTGCGTGAAATGAAGGCTTGCTGAGTCTCGTTTGGCTGAAAATCGAATCAAGCGACTCCCCTCTCAGACCCCAGGGGGTCTTAATAATTAGAATAGGGTTTTGGGGCCCATTATACTATAGTTTTCTAAGGAACCCACCCAAACAGTATTGGTAATTGTTTAGGCCCGTATATTTCCCCATTCTGTTGCAGTAGTCTTCTGCTCAAATTGCAAGACGTAGCTCGAGGCGCAGTCATTGCGCCAAAGGTGGCACTGAGCCCTGGCGGTCGCCCGCCTCATATAGGAGCCGGATGGTTCAGGAGTTTAGGCTTTAGGCTTTAGGGGGGTTTTAGGGTTTAGGAGCCGGAAAAGAGAAGACGTATTCCGTGACTAAAGATGAAGTGTGCTTACCAACTGAAGCATTTTTTCACCCACACCAGCCCAGGTCTTCGTGGAAAGCCAGGAGTATTGCGACAAACCCCCACAAATCCTGCACCTGAAGCCCTAAAAAGGCTCCTAAACTAATCTTCCCTAAAGCCGTTGAGAAGGCTCCTATACTAATCTTCCCACCCAAGTTTTTCCAAGCCATGTCGAACTCCCTGGCCTTCTCCGCGCCACAATCCTGGGCGTTGGAAGCGCGGGAAGTTGCTCCTCGGATGATGTTTTTGCAAAGACGACAAAAAAGTCATCGTCGGAACAGAAACAGTAAGAATGAGAATACTGTACCACTGAATAGTCGTAGGAAGGGCAGCAGGAGCGGCATGGAGCGGCAAAAGCATGGCAACAGCGACAACAATTGGTCTCCACAAGGTTTCAAAAAAATGCGCATAGTCAATACAAGCGCAGAATCCCAACACATCTTTAACTCAGAAGTGTTCGTCGCCGGGTCTTGTCTCGATGTTCGATTGTCAGGTTCTTTCCATTCAATATCCGAAACCTCACACGAGAAGAAATCCTTGAACCTCGCAAAGCCCCGAAACCAACACTAACCTATCCCTCCCTCCCACAGTCGGAAGTCCCTGTGAACTCAACACCCCGGCCCCTAAACCTTAGACCCTTTATGATCTTGGCGCTTCAATTGGTTTTAGCCCTGGGTCAGCTGACAGGAATGTTCCCTCGTCATATAACAACCTTTATAACCAAATAAAGGGGCCTTACATAATTACGTATACTATTTAGGGGGTTCCTTATGATAAGTATGGGAAAAACTCGAAGCCCTTTTCTAATTATTAAGATCCCTACATTCGATGATGAACCCTGAGCCTTTCTAAGGTTAAGCCATAAAGAAAGGGTCATCTTGAACTCCGATGTCTGCAATAGAAAGCTCCTTGCGTTCAAATGCCCTGTATAGCGAACCACCATAAAAGCCGTCATAGCACCCTCATATATAATCAGAGCTCCAAGCACCCTCATCGAAACTTATCTTGCGGTGAGGGCAAAATTTAAGCCCAAAGCCCTGTAAACTTGCAAGCCCTTAAACCCAAAGCCCCAAAGTCGAGGGGCGCTCTCGAGCCGACCGAAAAAAGGTGCTTTCAGAAAAAACCTCCTAAACCCTAAATCCTAAACTTCCTAAACCCTAAACCCTAAAGCTTCTTCAGGTCAGGGCTTCTCAGAGCTCTGCCTCCTGTGGGCCGAGCTTTCACAGCGCCAAAGCCTCGAGCGCCGTTCCTGCGATCACTTCCGTCGTTGCTGCGGCCGTGGCTGCGGCGCATTGCTCCCATTCCAAGGCGATGTGGGGGTGGGGGGGCGAGGGGGGGGTTTTGAGGGGCATGCTGATAGCACCCCGTGCCAGCACAACTAACGTCCTTGCTCTGTCGAGGACGGCGACGCGGACGAATACTGTGTTGTGTTGCTGCTGCTGCTGCTGCTGTTGCTGCTGTTGCTGCTTTCGATGACAATGACGGCGATGAGAGCAGTGTTGTTACTTCTACCGCCCTGTTAACTCTAGCTCCTGTTCCTAGAGATTCAGTTCCAAGGTAGACCCAGAGAGGCCACTTTATGCTTTTAGGTGCATCCATGAGTTCAGGAGCCTCGAAAACCTTAAACCTCTACCCAAAGATACAACGCTTGTATTCTAAGGCCTTCCAACTTCTTTATGGGGGTTCCCGAAAATAGGGGACCCTAATATAGTACCCTAAAATAGTAGGATCCTTATTATAAGGACCCCAAGATAAGGCACCCCTTATTTTCGGAAACTCCCAGACACAGCTCTATTGTACCCTAAACCCTAAACCCTGAAGCCTAAACCCCATTAGGCCTTATGAGCTCTTTAGAGCCTCCTTTGGGCTCTCTGGGTAGGCTCGGATACCTCAACTTCAGCGGCTCCCACGGCTCGCGAAGGGCGGAACCCAGAGCGACAGAGCATCCTGGCTTTCGAAGTTTGTTGAGGGCTTTTAGGGTTTAGGGGTTTAGGGGTTTAGGGGTTTAGGGGTTTAGGGTTTAGGGTTTCAGGTATGGGGTTTTGTGGGGCTTAGCCCGAAGAACCTGAAATAATTAGGTTACACTACCCCTTCTGGGACTCATCACAGGTTCGCTACGACTCGTACCTTTCAGGCCCTTCCATTCGGAGGTCGTTGCCGGGAACCTTAGTGCTGTTTTGAATCTCGAATGACCCACCGGTCAAAGATTTCATCAGCGAATCACGATAGCGGCCCTGCAAAGGTAGCGTTTTTGGGGTTCAGGTACGGTTTCGGTTTAGTTTGGGTGCCACTAATAATCTGTCAGCTCACGATCCCACACCTTTGCACCCTGAACTTGTGATTACAACTTTTTTTTTAACCTAAAGTTTGTTAACCCACCTGTCAAGTATCGTAGCCCCTAAATCCTAAGCCTGAAACCTTAGCCACCTCGGCCCAAACCCTAGAGACTCACATCGCAACGTTTTCAAGATAGGGGTCGGGCAAATTACTGACAGTATCCCCTTAACGTCCCTATACATGTGTAGTATGCTATCGCCTACTCCAAGACCCTTTTCTAACTCTCAAGGCTCGGAGTCTTGGCTCCGAAAGCCACAGCCCATAACTACACCTTAGTTAATATAGGGGCCTCAATAATTACCGGTTTTGTTTTGGAGGCTCCTTATTATGTTTATACCATCAAGGACCCTGTAACCCTATTCTAATTATAGGCTTCTTTATTACGTAGGCCGAGACTGCCACCGCCGGCGCCACCCACCTCCTCCAGAGACGCGAGGTCTCCCAGGGAGGCGACCAGTCAGGGTTATTTTGGGGGCAATTCTAGGGGCCGGGAATATTTTACAAAATTCATAGCTTATTTGCAACGCTATCCCCTTCGGGGCTCCTTTGATGAATGTTTGGGGGGTTCATAAAATTGCTTAGAAAGCCTTGCTTAGAAAGCCGATTGGGCTTTGGGCTTTGGGGGGGGTTAACACGGGGTCGGAATAGCTACATGTCTAACATACTACTATCCCTTTCAGTTTTCCTTTACTTAAGGATTCCCTAATGGATGTAAGAGAGGGTTAAGGGCTTCGGGCCCGGAAGGGTTCCCTAATGGATGTGAGAGGGTTTAGGATTTCGGGGTCCGGGTTTAGGGTTTCGGGTTTCGGATGCTCAGTAGAAGACTTCCCTCTGGAGCTAATGCATCAAGTTTTACCCGTGAGCCTTTCAGACGAAGCTCTAGCAGACTTGCGGTAGGGAGGCAAGGTGAGACTCAAACTCCTAAACCCTTCAGAAGGCGTAGACCTAAGCCCTATAATCCCTAAACCTTATAATCCCTAAACCCTATAATCCCTAAACCCTATCATCCCTAACCTCTATAATCCCCAATCCCTAAACCCCTATAATCCCAAAGCCCCATTCAGAAGGCGAAAGAGAGCCAAGGCAAGAATGACTGACTCTAAGCCTTAGACTCCTGAAGCCCTTGAAACCCTAAAACCCTAAAGCCCAAAAACCCTAAAACCCTAAAGCCCCAAAGCCCTAAAACCCTAAAGCCCAAAAACCCTAAACCCTAAAACCCTAAACCCTAAAACCCTAAAGCCCTATAGCCCTATAAACCCTAAACCTAAAAACCCTAAAACCCTGAAGCCCTAAACCCACAGAAACCCTAAGCCCGAAACCAGCGAAGGTGAGAATGATTTTCCGGAGTCGCGGCTGGACAGGGCTTGGTACTGGCTCAGAGACCGCAGCGAGGTGGGCTTTCCGTTCGGGTTGGCGTTTGGGGGTTCGGGTTTAGGACATCGGGGTTATTTGTGGTTTAGGGGCTTTTAGGGGTTAGAGTTGAGGGCTTAGGGGCCTTTAGCGGTTTGGGTGTGAGGGTTTTTTTAGGGTCTAGGGCCGTTTGGAGTGCTTTCTGGTCATTGGGTTTAGGGCTGGGACTTTGAGACTCTCGGTGTTGGGGTTCCTTTCAAGGGATGCGGTAGGCCCGTGTAGACTCAAACAGGATATTTGTAGGTTGTCCGAGGTTGCTCCACATAAACTTACCTGTGTAGAAACCCCGAACCCCAAGCCCTTAGCCCAAAAAACCCTCACCACACACTAAACCTTAAACCCTAAGCGCGTCGTACTTGTTGAAACGTCCCCTGCAGGTGGGGTGGAAAGCAGCCAAGAAGGGATGGGCAAAGGCGCGAGGGCATCTTTGGCCATAGTTCAGCAGCTCTTACAGTGACATTAATATACAAGTCTCGATAATGTTTCTTAGGGTTGCTTCTTAGGGCTATACTGATATAGGGGCCTTTTGGTGCCCATACTATTGTAGTTATCATAAGGAGCCCCCAAAATAGTATTGGTAATTCTTTAGGCCCCCTACCTTATAATATGATATACCCAAAACCCTAAACCCTAAACCCTAAACCCTAAACCGTGCCCCTACCTTATAATATGATATACCCAAAATACCCTGTTCCCCCGGATAGTCTTCAAGGATCTTCGGGGGGCCGCAGTCGCGTTTGTTCGGGGTGACCAGGGTCTGCGGTTCAAGGAATCAGGGGTGCTCTTCTGCGGGTGCTTATGACCATAAGGGGCTTAAGCTCTTAGGGTTTAAGGGTTTAGGTTTGAGAATCTTACTACTTCGACTCGTCGTTGGGATCTCTTTTGTTGAAACTATCAGATACCCCAACGATACAATCTGCAAGCCTCTTTTGATGCAACACATATTCATCTCTTCACACCTCACAGATACCCCAGAACAACCCCGTACAGTTGAGTTCTAAACCCTAAGCCCCTAAACCCCTTTAAAACCAAAAAAGCGTTTCCTGAGACCAAGGCATACCAGCGACCTCCTGAAGAAGTTGAAGAAGTCGAGCCTTAGTCTAGGGTTTAGGGTTTAGGGTAGTTTAGGGTTTAGGGTTTAGGGTTTAGAGCAGCAGTCGAGCCAGTATCCTTCGAGGATTTAATTGGGTAGTGGAGACCCTCAAGTTTAAAGCTTCAAGCCCTGAAGCCCTCCTGGCCCTAAATTGCCGTAACGCCTAAAGCCCAAACTTCGTTTGGATAAGAATAGATCACAAACTTCAAGACCTTAGGCCTGCGCCGGGCCTACTCCTAACTCCCCCAATGATTCAAGACGTCAGGAGTAAAGCGGCTGATCTACCGTAAGCCCTAAACCGCTAAACCCCTAAACCCTAAGCGACATAAGGAGCAAAGAGGCAGATCTACCGGGTCGATTCAAGAAGGCTCGGCAGCTCGCGCTGGACCGGTGGAAGCGGACTAAGCCTAGCCAGAAGCTTGGTCTTCGTTAACAGAGGTTTTTCAAGCGAGTAATATATATATATATAAACACACATACACATTGTTTATACACAGACTAAATGGAGCTGAAAAAATTAGAATAGGTATTTATACATATATATATATACACACACACGATATGGGCCTTCGTGATTAGAATAGGGGGTTTAGAATAGGGGGTGTATGTTACAGTATACTGGTCATACCCAGGCACACCAAGCAACAATGATGCTAATTCTTCAGGCTTCTTTACTACAGGGTTTAGGGTTTAGGGTTTACGAGAATGAGGCGAACATATTTCTTGATTCTTTTGCTATAGTCCCGGGCTATGGTAGATAACTTCAGTGCAATTCCTCAACAAAGCCCTTAAACCCTAATTACTAAACCCTGAACCCTAAACCCTAAGAGGAGTGGGGGGACGATGTATGTGGTGTAGGTGGTGAATCCCATTCGTTGTATGTGCTGCACTCCTCAATCCTATCTCAACCAGCATGGTATTCCCGATCAAAAGCGGAAAGGAAAAGAGGTCTCAAAAAACAAACCCTAATCCCCTAAAACCCCTAAAACCCCTAAAACGCCCTAAAACCCCTAAAACCCCTAAAAACCCCTAAAAACCCTAAAACCCCTAAAACCAAAGGCTGTCAGAACCTAGGAAACTTCTATCCTGCATTTTGGCTCTCCTGCTGCTCTTTGCGACCCTCCGGCCGAGCCACCCGCCGGTGTCGACGCCGAGCCAGTTGGCCACTCCGGCGCCTACCCTGCAGCTGCTTCCGGATGAGGACCTATCTAGGGGGGTCCAAAGCCCTACTGCTTTAAGGGTTATACTTGATACTTATACGCTATAAGTATAAATAAGGGTTCATAACCTGGTATTTAGGGTTTGGGGCTACAGGTATGTGTTGATAAGAAGGATGAGCAAAACCTGCGTTTCCCAGAATGGGGACTATACGACCATCCCCACAGTTTACGGGCATGAAGTTTATGCTGGAGTTTGCCCATCGGGAGGGTTCAGGGCTTAGGGCCTGGTTTAGGCCTCAACGATGCGTTGACACGTCAAGGGTTGCTATCTTCCAAAGAGACTTCTGCACTGCTCGTGTAGAGAAGACTCCGAAGCTCAAAGAGAGTGCAGGAATGTTCCCCGCGCACTTGCCATGACCCCATCTTCCACGTCCAAGTTTCAGCAATACCATGCCCCAATTTTGTGTGTTGTTGTTCTTGTTAAGGGGTGGTGGTGATGGTGGTGATGGTGGTGATGTTGGTGATGGTGGTGGTGGTGCTTTTGTTGCCGCGGCTGTGTCAGTTGCTGTCATGGTTGTTGCTTCTTGTCCCAACTCTGCTTCTGCACCGACAGGAAGCGCGGCTGCAGATGCTGGCAGATACCTCGCCTAGCGTCGTCTATGTGACCGGGAAGCCCACCCCGTGGATGCCGAAGGAGGTAACCGAAGGTGGCCCAAGCCCGGGAGGAACGGCCTGGATGCCCCTCGCCGTGTTGAGGGCCTTGAGTCCAACCCTAAACCCTTAACCCCAAACCCCTTTCATAACACTGGAAGCCTTTCAAGGTTCAGGCCTTCTAGGGCTGGAGAGGATTGGAGTCCTGGAGTTTAGGGTTTGCCGGACGGTTTTGCTCTGACTTTCAGCCAACATGTACCTAAATCCTTGTAACCCTCCAACCCTTATTATAAATCCTCGACCCTAAACCCCAAGCCCAGAACCCTAAACCCTAAACCCCAGAGGTTTGATCGCCGGCACGTGGTCACAAGCCTCCGCAACATCGACCTCGCCCAACGTGGATCCCTTCGGGTGGGGCGCCGGCTGGGATTTCTTGAGGAATGATGTGGTTCTTCTATACAACTAGTCGCATGTGTTGCATATAACATCTTATAACTAAGTCACAGTACTAACGGTACTAAAGTTTTTTCCGGTATTACCGCTATCGATATTAATCGTGTTCTTGTTATCTGCTGTTTCGTTCTGATATGCCGAAGGGCATTCGTCGAAGGCTCCACAAACAGACGAGTTCAACACAAGGATTTTGCGACTTCTACTTGAACGTGCCAGAGCGGTGTACCTTAAGTTCCTGAGCTTTCGCATTCATTATTATTGCTGGTGTTTAACTCTGTCTCCAGGTTTGGGGGTTGAGGGCTTGCGGCTTCGGAATCAGCGTACTTGTTCTTGCTGGGGCAAGGTTTAGGGTTCGACAATCCTCGGGCACTGTCGAATCCGATATCGGGAGCCAGGATCGTTTCAGTATAGGAGGTTCATGATGGGTCAAAGCCGGAAACAAGGATTCATGTAGCTCACCGCAAGAGCCGCCGGCTCAAGCTTCGCTTCTAACACTGCTTCACAGCTTTCGGACATAAGCATCGGATCCGGTTTAGGGCTTAGGGTTTAGGATTTAGGGTTTAGGGTTTAGGATATAGGGTTTAGGATTTAGGGTTGAGGGTTGAGGGCTTAGGCAGGGAGTGAGGCCGCTGATTCAGGGCTTGCCTTGGCTGGGGAAGAGTGCGAAGTGTCGTGCTTTATAGACTCCAACTGCCAGGCAGCGTCAAGTTCTTACAACACAAACCGTAAACCTAAACCTTAAACCCTATAAACCTCAAGCCCTAAACCTTTAACCCTAAACCTTAAACCCTAAACCTTAAACTCTAAGCCTAAGTCCCTAAACCTTAAACCCCGCACCCAAAACCCTAGCATGATTGCACTGATGAGTGTGAAAAGTGTGGTCGAATCGCTCATCCATCGCCACCTTAATATAGGGGCATAATGAATTAGAATAGGGTTTTTGGGCTTATAATACTATAGTAACAAGGCACCCCCAAAACAGTATTCAATTATTTGGGCGCCTACATTACGGTCATTCCTCTCTCTAAGCCATGACCCTGTTCCCCAGAACCCCACCCTGCGCCATAAATGTCACGGTAGACCCTACCAGCCAACCCCGGCTTTCTGGAAGGAAAAAGGCTGTTATGGATCACAATCTAATAAAACGGCGCTGAAGCGGACGCCTCTCTACTGCCTTCTGCACGATGCCATGCACCATGCAGGTTGAGGGTTAAACAAGGCCGTAAACCATGCGCGAAACCCAAGAATTCTCCAAACGGTGAGCCTTGCCAGAAGTTCGATCGCTATGCAGTCCATGAAGAAGCGACCCTAAACTCTGAACCCAATGTCTAAACTCCCAAACCGCCAACCGTAGTCCCTGATCGTGACCCGTATGGGTCCTTTGATATAAGAGGAACCGTTAAATGAACCCGTACAAACACACACTAGACCCCAAAAAGTCGTGGCAGGTGATCTTTGAGGACCGTACCGAGCTCCCGGCGCGGGTCGTTGGAACGGAGCCTCGGTGTTTGGGAGAGCGTAGGTCGATAGGTCCATTTTGGGGTGCTACCGTTGGTGCTGTAACAATTATAATGTACGCCATCCCTTAAACCATTCCTTCAAATGGATTACAGTGCATAGTTGGGATCTTCACCCCTCAAAAACAAGGGGGGTTCGGGAGTACTAGTTCGGGGGTCTACATGTCTACATAGAGTCGAGAAGAAGACCAAGGTTTGGGTGTATGTTTCTCAGGACAAAGGTAGAGGGTTTTGAGATGTTCTGAGGCACATCTATATTCTGCGCTCTTAATTGTTGAGTCTTCCACAGTGAGGACACATCCCCATACCCTAACCCACTCGTGTCTCGGATGCAGGTGTCGCGTTGAAGGGTGCATGCCTAGAAGGTTTCTGTGCCGTCCTGAACTTGGATTAGCTGCAGGTCTGTCCTGAACCGCACCATAACATTCCTTGGGCCTCTTAAAGCCCAAGCCCCAGGCCCTAAAAAACAACATTTCTGAAGTCGTAAACCCGACTTCATACATGTGAGGCCAATGTCCTACTGCGTGTAAAGCATGACCCCAT